CCTGAATTCCTGATTAGGTGGAAGGCAAAAATGATTGCACAGAGTTGACATCTGACCTTCCCATGTGTTCACTAGTATCCATCCTTTACCCACATCATGAACAGTCCCTCCCCCACACACATACACAATAAAAAAAGAAGACTGGGGGTCTCGAGAACCGAGCGGAGCTGGTTGAGCCTCCAAAGTCCTAAAACGCGCGGCCGTGGGTTCGGGGTTTATTGATTGAATTCCGCTGGCGCAGGGTCCTCTGCAGAGAGAGAAAAAGAGAGAGCGCGAGAGATGGATATGGACAAATGGATTTATTTAGAGCTGCGGAACAGGACGCCCTCTGATGTGAAAGAACTCGTCCTGGATAACTGTCGGTCAATTGAAGGCAAAATCAAAGGCCTCACAGATGAATTTGAAGAACTGGAATTGTTAAGTACAATCAACGTAGGCCTCACCTCCATTTCGAACTTACCAAAGTTAAACAAACTCAAGAAGCTTGAATTAAGCAATAACAGAATCTCAGGGGACCTGGAAGTATTGGCAGAAAAATGTCCAAACCTTAATCATCTAAATTTAAGTGGCAACAAAATAAAAGACCTCAGCACAATAGAGCCACTGAAGAAGTTAGAGAATCTCAAGAGCCTAGACCTGTTTAACTGTGAGGTGACCAACCTGAATGACTACCGAGAAAATGTGTTCAAGCTCCTGCCCCAGGTCATGTACCTCGATGGCTATGACAGGGACAACAAGGAGGTCCCTGACTCTGATGTTGAGGGCTACGTGGAGGATGACGATGAGGAAGATGAAGATGAGGAGGAGTATGATGAATATGCCCAGCTAGTGGAAGATGAGGAGGAAGAGGATGAGGAAGAAGAAGGGGAGGAAGATGTGAGTGGAGAGGAGGAGGACGATGAAGAAGGTTAAAACGACGGGGAAGTGGAAGATGAGGAAGACGAAGAGGAGGCTGGTGAAGAAGAAAGGAGTCAGAAGCGAAAACGAGAACCCGAAGATGAGGGTGAAGAGGATGACTAAGGGGAATTAACCTGTTTGGGAAAATTCCTATCGTGATTTGACTGTTTTTACCCATATCCCCTCCCCCCTCCTATTCCTGCCCCCCAAAACTTATTTTTTTCTGATTGTAACGTTGCTGTGGGAATGAGAGGGGAAAAGTGTACTGGGGGTTGCCGGGGGGGTGGACGAGAGGGGGAGGAATAAAATACTATTTTTACTGCCAAAAAAAAAAAAGAAGACTGTGGGCTGTATTTAGAGAATCTTCTTGCTGCTCCAAAATGTCATGTCATTTCACTTTTCAGTCTCTTACAGACATAGTCTTACCCAGACTACCAGTGTGGAGAATCAGCTTCGTTTTTTTTTTTTTTTTTTTTTTTTTAATGTTGCACTTTTTTTTAATTTTATTTTTCTTTTTAGTTACATTTTGTTAACTCTGTGTCCCAGCTGTATCCCACTCCCTCATTCCCTCTCCAACCTCACATTCCCTTCCTGGTCTCTTCAATGCCACTTTCCATGTCCACTGATAGGGGAGGACCCCCTCCCCTTTCATTTGACCCTGTTTTATCAGGTATCTTCAGGGTTGGCTGCAAAGTCCACCTCTGTGGCCTAACAGGACTGCTCCTCCCCTGGGGGTGGGGTGGGGAGGTCAAAGAGTCTGCCCTTGAGATCCTGTTAGAAATAGTCTTGTTCCCCTTACTTTGGAAAACAGCTTTGTTTTTAATCTTGTTCAGTTTTCAGTTATTCTCCTTACAACAATTTTATTTAGTTTGTTTTTTTGACACAAATTCTCTCTACAGAGACCTGGTTATCTTGGGCTTCCCTATGTAGACCAGACTGGCCTTGAACTTACAGAGATATGCCTTCCTCTGCCTCCCAAGTGCTGGAGTTAAAGACAAGGCACAACTTCCCCACAAGAAATTTGAAACAATAACAAACTTGAAGATAGTTCCAAGTATGTACAGTTAATTGCTGTTTTACTTTGCACATTTTGAGATGAAGCTGCTGACTTTATGCCCTGTCACTCAGAATGGTTTAGTGTTGATTTTATACAAAAACTTTGCCTTACATAATGACAGTGCAGTTAACAAATTTGTTAATTCACGCTGACACAGTATTACATTTAATTTGGGTTGTGTTGACTATGTTATTACTCACATAATTGTCGAGGAAGTTGGTACATTTAAATGTTGCATTGTTTCCTTATTATTT